CGTCGATGAGTACGAGTGGTAAAAAAAAGACTGACATTGATGTTTCGGGCTCTACAGTAGCTTTACCCACTTACTGTAGATATTTGTAAAAAAACACTGTAATAAATATATATGTGAAAAAGTTGGTGAATCTCACCGTCGGCAAGAAAAATATTTACTTTGGAAAACAGTTTGAAAAAAGTAAAGTAAAACAATCATCTGTTCACCCCACTGATGCACCACGCACTCTCTGGGTAGTGGAGTTGATAATGTCGTTGATAAAATGGCATAAATATGTATTCTACACGTTAAGAAGGACAAACAAACAACGTGAGTAACGTACGTTGATCGTCACGATCGACCCTCGCTGATCTTGTTTCTTGGGCGGCGGTAGATCTTCATCATCTCCTAGTGTCGTCGAAATCTTGACTGGACTCGTGGAGCAGCGACGTACGTACATTCCACGGACAGCGACGACGTACTTGATTTGATGCCTACGTCTTGGCTTGTTCGGATATCGGAGAGTGGTCGCGGAAGCGGGGGTGGTCGGCTGTGGAAGGGTAGAGTCGAAGCCTCAAAACACCTGGATATGTTCGCGTCGCGTAGCAAATAGGACAACCAGACGAGGGGAAGATGAGAAGAACATTCATATACTGTAACAGGTAAAATCTGTTCTCTCGTATCCATGGATAAAAAATGAAGAAATTGGTTGTGGCGAGAACAACCAAAACTAAATAAATTCTGCAAGTCCTGCACCTTTTGTAAACGAGCACCAGACATTCATTCGTAAGCTACATGACAGCCGGCTACGCCAACGTGACGCATTACTTACTACGCGCACTTGGTGTGTTTGTACACTACAGCAGAGGAGGCAGAGAGCAGTCTACACCGCAGTTCCATCAAGAGACGGGTGGGTGTGAGGGCAAAATATTCTCCAAGAGGTGGTACGAAGAATATTGAATATATTCGGCTCGAAATTTGGCGCGCAAACAGTCAAGGCAGAGACTCTCGGCGTGCTGTGTGTGTGCACGGCGGCAATGCAACAGCTCTCTCTGTTGATTAACACACGGCATGACCATATGAAGGCCGGCACGAAGCGGGGACAGACTGTGTGGAACGGTGTCGCCGCTACTTTGCGTACGTCGTATGCTACGTAGGTGATTGCGTTGCCGGGTACCTTTTGCTTCACTGCAATAAAGAAGCAAGTGATTATGCTGCCGAAACAAATGCTGGGTACAAAAGGGTCATGTGTATGTGTGTGGGAAAAATGTCAAGCAACACCTGACCTGTAGAGGACGAGACAAGACGAGGCGAGTGGTTAGGGGAGCATCACGACTGCGTGGCAATGGTGATCGGTGCGTCAAGTTGATTGAGTGGAAGGGCATTGCCTGGTGATAGGGGCAGTCTCTGAAGAAAAGACGTGAGCGGGTGACCGCGCGCGCGAAGAGGGAGGACCGGTCTGCATGCCATCCTGTGTTGGCCCGAGCTTCATCTTGGAGAAGTCACGGCAGCATCCTACCACGCGTGAACGCTCGCGGAGCAATTGCGCGCCTCACTCATGCTGTGTGCATACAGTCCTTCCACTCTTTCTCATTGGGAGCGTCTCTAAGATGGTCGCCCTGAGCTACGCTAGCGTGGATATGTCTGGCCAACTTTTTGGCGCGAAACATTTTGGCGCGAAATGTGTCTACATCATGTCTCCATGTGTCTTGCATCGGAGATCAATGCGCCCGGTCACTCACACACTCACCATCATCTTCTCGTACTGCGCCACGCAGTGCTGTGGTTGGCCAGGGCGGTCGTACGTGCACATGTCGTTGATGTCCGGTGAGGTTGCTGAGATGGGGGAGGAGGCTAAAGCTGACGCGTGCTTGATCCTGGATTCTGATGCCGCGAGAGAGGGAAGGAAGCAACTGCAGGCAGCGGTATGCTGAGAGAGGAAGCAGGTGGATGCCGGGCGGGGCCATGGGTGGGTGGGCTGGGTACACACAGGTTGTGTGATGAAGTGCAGGGACGATGGCGATGGTGTGTGCTGATGGAGAGGAGGAGAGAGTGAGAGTGAGAGTGAGAGTAAGGGGGAGGGGGAGGAGAGTGTGCGCGCGGGTTGGACTGAAAAGTAAAAAGTAAAAAGCCGTTTGGCTTTTTTTTGGGCGGGAAAATTGATGTGACCGCGTCCAACTTGTCAGCGGAGGGGGAATCCTTGAGACGTTCTTCGGAGATGCGGTGTAGATCCGAGTTGTCAGTGGGATAAATCTCAACCTCAAGGCTGCTCTCGCCTGTACGTGTAAACATGAGCGGGGGAGAGCAAGGATGTGACTCCAAACTTTCGAGTGCTTGCATATGCGCAACCATTTCACTCACCGGTCCACACCACCGTTGCGTGGGTAGGGTGTATGCATAGTGCGAGCTCGAAATCGCTTTACCTGTTGTCTCTCGGTCTGCACATTGCTACTGGTGTATTCATTATTTTCTCCAACACGTGGATGGGCAGTACACATTACTGCCGGCGAAGGAGGGACCGGCCGTGGCGTGCTTGTTAGGTGTAGCGGACTGCTGTACATATCATGATGCACGACCAAGCAGCTTGTTTGGGTGTGAACAGCAGACCAAGCGGTGTCTACCTCTTGTAGAAGCAAATAAATCACCGAGAAGAGCGAAAGAGAGAGGCGTCATTTTGACAACAGGAGATTCTGAGCCGCGCCTCGCCACACGACATGAAGCTTGGTGAGTCGGAAGTCGGGCGTCCCTTTGTTCCCCCATGTATATTGTCTTTCTTGGGGCGGACGCTGTCGTAAGAGACATGCAATGGTGATAATCCTGGTTGCCGGCAGACAGAAACACCGGGCAAGCCTTCGATCACGGACAACGTTCGAAAAGCATCCAGGTTTGCTCACGTGCACATGAGCTACAGCAGTCAGCTTTCATTGTTTCGATCTCCCGCTCATGTTCAAGCCACATCTCGAAGAAACGAGCATATTGACGTGAGATAGGACGTATCACATTTTCCGAGCCTCCATGATGGGGATACACAAAAACAAAGCACACGAGAAGAACACAAGATATTGGGTATGTCCAGGATCCAGCCCTACACACGTTTTTTGCACATGATACAACTGGTCCGAGGTGCATGAAGGTGGAGTTCTACACCCAAGACACAAACGCTCACACTGCGCAGCGGCTGCTGTTCGTGAAGATAAGGCATCTACCAAAAAACAACACGGCCGGCACTAAAACCAAGCGTGGTAAGCTGCAAATGAGCTAAAAAAATCCTGTCCGCTGGTATTCTACCGCGGTCGTGCTACACAGCAGTCATAGCCCAAGCGGTGTACGTATAACTGTGCGCCATCAACCAAAAGCAGTTCCACCCCGCCTCCCCCCCAACCCCAGCCCTGCATCCCTCCTCCCTGCTAACGGCGCCCTCCTCAGCACGCCCTCTTCCGGTGCCGTCCTTCTAGAACACTACAGCAGTAGCGATCTTCCGCAACAGTGGATCACGTGCGATACATCTCGGTGCCGCACGGAGTCTAGACTTGGTCCAATCTTCTACCCGGCTTCCTTCCTCGCCTGCTGTGCTTCACCTACAGTACGTTCACTGACACAAGAACGACGAGCAAGCGCCCGAGGAACCGGGGGCCGGGGGGAGAGGAAGAGGTTAAATGCCGCGCAATATTTTTTGTCTGTGGTTGAGTGCAACTCAGCAGTAGTCTACTTGCGGAGGGAGGGTCTGGTGCACAGGACCAACAGATTACGAATGAGAGGTACCCGATGCTCTCTTGACCGGAGGATCTAACCCCTTGGAGGATGAGACTCCTATGCACGTCTTCCTTGTTACAGCGAGGGCGGCCGTCTTCGAGAAATAATGCCGGGATGTTTTACGGGACCATCGTCTTGTGCCCTTGTGTATGATAGGCAGATGTGCCCTGATGTGGTGCTTGGAGGAAACGCCCCTCCCTCCGTTTTCGAAGTTGTTGTAATGTTGCAAATCGAGTATATACTGCTGCTGTAGGATTGATTGTGGAGGCTACGACGTTTCCCCAACGGATGGCAAGCCAACAGCGTTGCCATACCTACATGCCGTCAACGATTCCACCCTGATATGCATATCATCCGCCTGCTGTGGACATATCGTCCGTCTACTGCTGTTGTTAGTTTCGTGAGGGAGAACGGAGTCCTGCTGTCGACGTGTTGCAAGAGCAAAACACGGCGAAACATGAATGAGCTCTCGCATGTAGCCTGGCGACACCAGCGAGGACAAGGTTGCTAAAACGCCTCTGAACTGCTGTACGGTTGGTCACATCCAACGAGCAAACCCGGAGGTAAGTATGATGTTGAGTTTCTCTTTCCCTACCCATGGCGCTGGCGCTCCATGCTTGAACTGACACCTTCTGCCTTACGCATACCCTTTGCGGTCGGCTGCCGCCCCACCGCGCGATCCGCGGAAAAAAATCTTTGTTCATCCTCGCAACGTCGGCTTTGCCTCAAGGTAGAGCCCGGATCAACAGCCCCCCGTGCAACCTACACTTCACCAAGTTATCTCAGCAGCTCACCATGCTCGCTGCTGAGGCACTGCTTCCTGCTGGAGCGCTCCAAGCTCCTGCTATCCGCCGCTGTCGTGCTCGGTCATCGTGCTCGGTCCTGATTTCAAAAATCCGCAAAAGTCGGTTCGGAGATCACGTGAATGGCACCGGCGAGCATGGAGGCGAACGGCAGGGGAACAGGGTGCACAAGCTGGTTGTCAGCATACCTGAGCAAGGTAGTTGCGTGGATTCTGTGTGACAAGCACATTGCAGTCAGTCTGTGCGGACTATCTCATCTCTGCTGGGCTCGTGCTTCTCTCTCGCGATCCTGCAAGCCTGCGCGTGCTCGCTGGCACTTCTCGCTGGCTTTGGCGATTTTGGGTCGCATGCAATGATCTATTTCAGCAATCTACTCACGTTGCTGCTGCTGGCGCCTTCACCTGTAGACACCAAGCCCCCCAGCCCATACCACGAAGACCCAGGTAGTTGGTGAGGGTTCCAGCATGATAGGCTGTTGTGGAGAGCAACTGGGCGTCCTCTCCGGGGTCTTGGTTTGGAGGAGTGCAGAAGGAGGCTGCTGCCTTTCAAAAACGGAGATCGCGGTGGCGATCTCCGAAATTCCAACCAGGGAGTTCCATCGAAACGCAGGCCAAGGCAGGGAGGAAGGGCTGAAAATCGAACTTCAACCAGAGGTCGCTAGCGCTTGGAGAAAAGACGTGCTTAATGCCAGATACCCAAAAACGCAACCACGTTGGAGATTATCAATGTGGCTATTCTCTCAAAAAGTACGAAACAGATGGTCCCCAGTATCACCATATGCCACAACGTGCATTTATATATGCAAAAATATCCTTGTTTGCAAGAAGATGCGTCTGGCATGTGGCGCAGAGGTAGCGTGCGAGGCTCATAACCTCGAGGACCCAGGATCGAAACCTGGCATGCCATTACTTTTTTCCGCTTTTCCCTCAAAAATTACAATGTATACTCAATTTTTTATTATCGCAATGAAATGGAAAACCAGCATGTATGCATGCAAGCATGCAGGCAACGTCACAGGTATGCACACACATACGTGTCCCGGGTGACATTGGAGCGACGGCCTCCCTTTCCCTTTCAGAACCCATTCAGTATACGTCTCACACGTTTTTGTGCTGTCGTTGTAAGGGGTTTTATCGCCTTGACAAGTACGTACATCCACACATCACACACACACACACCACGTTCAGTTCGTTCGTTCATTGATTGATGGCTGTTCTGATCCCTCACACAGCTCATCATCGTCCATAAGTAATTGATCCTGTCTGAATGATGAAGCGCACACGCACGCGTCTTCCAGCGCGGTCTACAGAGAACATACATGATCTTTTTCTTGGTGCTGGCATCATTTTTCCCTCTTCGTGTCCTCCATGTACATGTATGTGATGTACGTACGATCAAGTCCACCCGCAGTAACAACATCTTGTTGATGAATTCAAGGGAGTTCATGAAGGAGTGCACCGCGGAAGGAATTTGAAAGACAGCGGTCGCGAGTCATGGTACGATTGACAGGAACTCATCTATCGTCATTCATTCGTTCTTCGTTGGTTGTGGTGGTTTCGAGTGGTGGCGGTGTCAAAGAGATTCGTTCTATTTATAGCGTTCTATTTATGGACGTTGATGCTTGCGCCTTTCCGAAACGAACGGTACAATCAATTCTGGACCCGCTAGCCGAGATGACACAGGAGAAAGGCCAAACACAACTTATGTCCACGTTATGCGATACAATCAAAAAAATTACGTGTCATCGCGCTCGGCAACGCTTTCTTCCGCGGGCAGAGAGGGTGGAGATGGGTGGGCGTCGAGGAACGCAACAGTTTGTTGTGCGAACCTCGAAAATGGGCGTTCGTCGAAAGGCTGCAGCACGACGCCGCGGACCGGACGAACGACCCCGAAAAACCCAACGTCTTGTTGTGCTTCTCATTCCACCTAGTTTCAAAAAAACTCTTCAACGCGTACGCGTATATTTGCTCACGAGGTATCCCCCTTACGGGGAAGAAGGCCTGGCCTGTTTTGCTACCCAAATTCCTACTACATATTACAGCAGTGTTGCAACGAACTTTCGTTTTAGTAACCACCGGCTCGCTTCCTGATCGCAGGGGCCATCTCCTCGTCTATCAAATCCAAACACCAACTCAGAAAAAAAAAAAAGGCGTGGGTGCGTGCATTCAATTCGATTGGACAACCGCCGCAACAACTTCGCCTCCCCTCCACTCCAGCAAGACAGCAAAAATAGAAATGGCGCCCAACAAATACGGAGACGAGCACACACATCGTAACACAGAGCAACGTTACAGCGCTGCTGCCACCGCAAGCGCGCGAACAACGCACCGCTAGGGGTCAACAACAGCAGATGGCCAGTCGCACATGCCGTGCTCTGGTTCGTCTTACTCTCGTCATCCTTTGTTCTGGCGATTCTCTTTTGTGTTGCTTCTTCGTCGTTCACCCCCCCCTTCCCCC